CACAGTGCTGAGAGTGACCAAGCAGGGATGGCCTGCTTCAGACAGGAGGTTAGGGAGAGCTTCTTTGAGGAGGTGGTGTCCCAGCTTTAACAAAAGCAGGGAACAAGATGTTCTAGGATGTTCCAGGACATTCCAGAACATTCCGGGTGGAAGCAGTGTGTAGGACCCAAGCCTGGTGTCAGAAAGTGCCTGAGGGACAGAGATGAGACCATATTGGCTGAGACAACGTGGGCAAGGCCTGCAGTAAGGAAGGAGAGTGTCGACAGAGAGGCACTGAGAGCAGGCTCCTCGGTGTGTGGGACACAGCTGTGACCGAGACTGCAAGCGCGTCCTGTCTGGCAGAGGGAACATTTATTAAACCAATCATCACACAAGCAAAGAAGCAGTAACTTAATTGTCAACAGGATAGAGGCTTGAGTTGGGGCACAGTGACTTAGGGGGCCAGGCTGAGCCAGGAGGTCAGGGAGGGACATTCAGGCTGAAGAGATGGCCAGGAAGAGAGCAGAGCCTTCCAGGCAGAGGGAACAGCCTATGTGGGGACCCTGAGGAGGGTACCAGGAGCCGTGTGGAGCCTGGCAGAGCTGGGTACGCAGGGGGTGGTGGCAGCATCACATGATGCAGGACCCCTGGAGGCCTCAGCTTCCCCGTTGGACTCATGCCCAGCACCAAGCAGGCACCTTGGCAGCCTCCAGCTGGGGCCTGGCCGGAACCTCCCCGCCACAGAAGGGAAAGACGTGAGTCCCCATCCTTCCCTCCAAGACTTTACGGAGAGTCGCCAAGGACATCTTGCTCCCTCCCTCCCTTCCTAGGCAGATTACCACCCTTGGGCCCAGAACTCAGGCCTGTTGCCAGGGAACCAAGACCTCTGGTTGCCGTGGCAACCTTGAGCTACCAGGACACATGGGCGCTCCTGCATGTTGCCATGACGCCAGCTACTCACCCATCCTCCATCAGGTCTTCACCGGGTGCAGGAGGAAGCAGCAGAGGAGGCAGCTTCCCAGATGCTTCCCAGAGCGGAGGGGAGGTCAGACAAGGAAACTGAGGCTTAGAGAGCTCTGGTGAGTCAGGGCTCCTCCAAAGGTCACATCTGTGGGCCCTCACCCCAGGGAGGAGCCCCAGAAAAAGGCCAAGGGCAGGGGGCCAGCCCCGGGGTGCAGCGGTTAAGTGCACACGTTCCGCTTCGGTGGCCCGGGGTTCACCAGTTCAGATCCCGGGTGCAGACATGGCACCGCTTGGCATGCCATGCTGTGGTAGGCGTCCCACATATAAGTAGAGGAAGATGGGCACGGATGTTGGCTGAGGGCCAGTCTTCCTTGGCAAAGAGAGGAGGATTGGCAGCAGTTAGCTCAGGGCTAATCTTCCTCAAAAAAAAAAAAAAAAAAAAAAAAGGCCAGGGGCCCTCTCTCTCCTGAGACTCCAAAAGGAGCCAGGAGTGACTGGGCGGAGGACTCCAAAGGCCTTTGCTTGGCACTCAGGGCCCCTCCTCCCGTGAAGCCCACAGAAAGGCAAGTGATGTGAGCAGGCATTACATCTCTCTGAATGCACACTCATGCCTCCAACACACACACCCATGCCCCTGGGACCCCCCCCTTCTCCCCAGATTCTTCCATCCCTATAAGCCCAAGTCAGCTGCCACCTCTTCCAGGCAGCCATCACTCACCACCTGCTTGGAAGGGACTCCTCTCCCCACTCCACACACCCACAGTAGCTCATGATTACTGCCCTCACCACCTGATGTTATTCATTCCACGTCTACAAGACATCTACTCTGGGCCCAGCCCAGGGCTGGTCACCAGGGCCTCAAGAGTTAATGCACTAGACACACAGCAGCGAACAGACAAACAAACAAGCAAAACACTCTGCCCTTGGGATTCAATCTTGAGAGAGGGGAGAAAGGACCAAGAGACAGGGATCACTGATAACTTTTCAGTTCCAAGAAGCCCAACACAAACTGGTTTAAGCCAAAAATCAAGGGACAGGATGGACTTCAGGCAGAGCTTGATCCAGGACTTCCAGCAATGGCACAAAGACACTGTCTTTCTCCATCCCTTGGGCAGGCTCTGTTGTCATGGTGACAAATGGCCCTCAGCAGCTCCAGACTCACATCTTCTTGGCTCAGCAACTGCAGTTAACATGTCTCTCTCCCAATAAATCCCACCAATATCTGAGAAGGCTCGGATCGTACTGCTCAACTTGCCCTTAGCCACATAAGTTTGACCAGACCAAATTAGAGTCCTATTAGGAAGGAAGAAGAGGGTGCTGGGTACCGGGTAGATTCCCACCAAGTACATGACAGCGTTCCGAGCAGAAGGAGTTGTTGTAGCAAAAGCCTGGAGGCTGGACCATTGATGCTACTGCAGGAAACAGTGAGGACAGAGCTCATTTTGCCTCCAGACCAAAAGATGGAAGGGATATAACAGGAGAGGTGGCTGCCAGCTTGGCAGGGATTAAAAGCCGTTTAAGGGAGGAAATTAGGTGATGTCTGAGGGCCACAGGGAGTCATGGGGGGGTCAGCAAGGGAGGGACAATATCTGACTCCATGTAGGGAATGGATTTGGCTAGGTGAGCCCGCTTCTGTGGTCTGAGAGGGAAATGAGGAAACACCCAAGCAAAAATAATTTCTGATCACCTGCTCCATGCCAGGTTGCATGTGAGACCCATGGGAGCTGTCTTCACGGAGCTTATAAAATTGTTATGCCACTGTTGAAACAAATAATTATTAATCAACTATAAATGTGGTAAGTGCAGGGATGATGGAGAGAGAGCTGAACATGGATATAACAGGGGATGCTGGCCCAGACTGGGGAAGCTGGGATGTCTTCTACTGAGCAAAAGCCCTTTTAGTTGAACACTTGGGCAGAGCAGGGTGTTCCTGGCAGAAGGAAATGTAAGTGCAAAGGCCCTGGGGCTGGAAGGAACAAAGTAAGCTTGAGGAATTCAGAGGGAACCTGTGCGCCTGAAGCATAGTGGGTGAGTGGCAGAGCCTCAGTAGAAATGGTTGTAGATGTTAGTTGGGCCAGATCATGGGGGCCTTGTTGGTAACCTGTGGATCTTTGGGCTCCTCATGGCAGCAGTAAGTTCCGGAAGAGGGTGATGTCTTGGATTGTATTTGCTTTATATGGACAGATCCCCAGCTGCTGCGCGGAGCTGGAGGGTGACTGGAGGGGAAGCAGGGAGCCCTGAGAGGAGGCAGGCGCTTTCGTTGGGTGAGAGGTGGTGGCAGCTTGGACCTCGGAGGTTGCCAGGGGGATAAAGAGAAGCATGGAGGCTGGAGGCCAAGGGGACAGACCCTACTGATGGGACAAGGTAGAGTGAGGACAGGGGAGAATCAAGACACCACCCAGGTGTCCAAGCCATTGAGCTGAGGAGGCTAGGGCAGGGATGCAGGAGAAAGGATGACCAGGGTCCCCTTTGGCTGGGCTGAGCAGCTACCATGGCCATTTAGATAGATAGTGCCTATGGCTGCGCAACACTGGATGTACCTAATGCCACTGAATTGTACACTTAAAAACTGGGTAAAATAGCAAGTATTATATGATACATATATTTTATCACCATAAAAAAATAGAGGAACACCTTAAATGTACACCAACCCAAACTAAATAAAATGAGAAACACACTTCTTCAGTCACACTAGCCACATGGCAAGGGCTCCAGAACACCATGCGGCTGGGGGTGATACTGTCATTGCAGAAAGTTCTACCAGGCAGCACTGGCCTGCTCTGGCTTCTTCCTTCTGCCCAGGTCTCACTCCTGGTGATGTTTCTAGAGGCTGCCCTGAAACCCCATAGAGGGTCCAGGATGACACCCAGGGGCCCATGTCACCTTTGTGCTGAACCCTAATGCTCAAGGTCCTGGCAGCAAGCAGGAGCCATTCAGAAGAGACGATTCAGAAGAGGTGTAATAACGAGGCTATTTGCAAAGGTGTGGTCAGGGTCGGGTACCTGACGGGGTGGTGCAGCACGCAGCGTGAGCAACAGTGGGGGGCTGTTGCCACATCCAGACGGAGGCTCCCAGAGAGATGGAGGGGCCGCCTGGTGGAGCTGGGGCCTTGGGTTGGGGGATGCAGGTGGAGACACCCCGTCTTCTCCTGCTCCTTCCTCCTGCTTCCTGCAGGTGCCCCCCACGCCCACCCCCGGCTGATTCTGTCAGAAGGCAGAGGGCCCAAGTGGAGCAACCTCCAGGGACACAGGGCAGGGTGGAGGGTGGCGGGGCTTATACCCAGGCCCACTTCGCTCCCTCTAACTCGCCTTCCCCCACTCACCCACTTGTCGCCCACAGGCCTCCATCAGCTCCTGGAAACCTCTGCCCCATTGACCACCAAGCCCCTCATCCCGAACTCTCCCCAGGAGATGAGGCCCCCGCCAGTCAGGAATCTCTGGTTGCCAGCAACAGAAACAACTGTAGTCGACTAAGCTAAAAGGAGATTTACTGGAAGGATCTCAAGGACTCTGTAGAATGGACAGGAAGGGTGGAGAGCCAGGGCGGGCTGCTCTTGTCCTGCAAGATTCATCTGCAATGCAAAGTGCAGCGTAAGAATGCCAGGTCTGGACCCCATGGACAGGGAAAGGGAGAAGACCCATGGTCAGTGCCCTGAAATCGCCCCCAAGGGGCAGAGCTCCATCCCCAAAAGAAAGGGGGATGGAAGCCAGATGGCCACAAAACTAACGAGCATCCTCTTCAAGATGTGACTGTTCATTTCACAGGAGAGACGGAGAGACGCGGGGGCGGGGGCCAGGATGGGGCATTGACCCACCCGGGCCAAGCAGGTGACACAGGTCACTTTTCCAGGGGCACCCCTAGTCAGGCGTGTGATGTGGGCTGGGCAGCAGAGGGGCTGTCCTTCCAGGTGGCAGCTGGTTCGCACCTCTTGAGCCCCGTGGAGTTCCCGGGGTTTCCCCCACCTCAGAAAGGGCCTGGGGGGCAGGGGTCATGGCCATGCTCAGGCCACTCCCTCAAGGGCAGACAGAAAGACAAACAGAGGCAGGCTCAGTCCAGACGTCTTTTATACACACACTTTATTCCTCCCAACCCCCAAGCTGCGGCCCCAGCCTCAGCGCTGCCCACAGCCTCCTCTTGAAGGGGCCTCCTCTCCTGGGGCTGGATCTCCAGAGGTGGGGTGGGGACGGGGGGAGCCCTAGCACAAGGTGGCTCCCCTGAGGCCTCAGCCCCCCAGAGAGGGGAGAGAGGAGGAAGAGGAATGTGGGGTTCAAATACTCAAGAAGCTACACAATAGAAGATGGAAGAAGCTCGCTCTAGGGAGGGGGCAGGGAGGAAGCAAGGCCAGATGTCACCCCCTAGAGACATCAGGACCCGGGGGAGAGGGGCAGGCCTGTAGAGAGAAGGATTTTGTGGGTGGAGGAGCCCAAGGATGGTCCCACCCTGGCCTGGACTCCTGAGCACAGGGCGAGGAGGCCTGAGGAACAATTCCCCAGGCGGACCGAGGCCTACAGCTTGGTGAGATCCAGCTTCAGCTTGTAGGGTGGGGGGCTGTCCCCAAAGGCGTGCGATGGGGGAGGGTACAGGGGCCAGTCTGGCTCTACCATGAAGCCTTTGTGCTGCTCCAGGGTCAGGGGCTGCAGGGGGAGGAAGGGGGGGCTCTGAGCCCGCACCCAGGCAAGGCTTCTTCCCACCCCTGATCTCAGGTCACCCTACTCGGGGTGAGTGTTTTTCCCCCCATTTCATAGGAGAGTGAAGAAACTTGCCCAGTGTCACATAGCAAGTCAGGGCTCCCTGCCTCCATGGGAGAGAGGGTGGCCCAATCCAGGACTACGGAGCCACTGTCCTCCCACCCCTCCCCCGGGGCCCTGCCCACCTGGAACTTGAGATGCTGGCCAGGTGCAGTCACCAGGGTAGAGCAGCTCAGCCACAGCATCACCAGCACGGAGAGGAAGAGGCAGCAGGCCAGGATCCAGCGAGGAAGCCCCGAGCGCCTGCCCCACCCAGCAGGTAAGTTCAGCGGCCCTAGTGGGATCAGAGAGACCCTCCTCTCCAGCCCCACCCCCGTCCCACTCCCAGGGTCCTGCCACCGACCGGGACATGCAACTGAGGAAGTCATTGTCTTGTAGCTCATCGGACTCCACCTTGGCCTTGCTGCTAGTCTTGACTCGGATCTTGGCCTTCCTCACCTTGTCCAAGGGACCTACAGGATCTGAGAGATGGGCCACTTCTCAGTGGCCTCCAGGCCTTCCACAAGAGCCAGAGCAACCATGGAGAGAAGAAAAAAGGCCAACACCTGGGGCAATAGAGCATGGAGTCGTGGAATAGATCAGAACCCTGGAGATGGACCACGGAACCCTGGAGACGAACTATGGAACCCTGGAGATGGACCAAGAAACCCTGGAGACGCACTACAGGACCCTGGAGATGGACTACAGAACCCTGGGAGATAGACCAGGAACCCAGGAGACAGATCAAGAAACCCTGGAGACGGACCAAGAAACCCTGGAGACGGACCATGGAACCCTGGGAGATGGACTATGGAACCCTGGGAGACAGACCAAGGAACCCTGGACACAGACCAGGGAACCCTGGGAGACGGACTGAGGAACCCTGGAAGACAGATGAAGGAACCCTGGGAGACGGACCAAGGACCCCTGGTTGATGGACCAAGGAACCCTGGAGTTGGACCAAGGAACCTCAGAGTTGGACCAAGGAAGCCTGGGAGACAAACCAAGGAATCCTGGGAAATAGACCAAGGAACCCTGGGAGATGGACCAAGGACTCCTAGTCAATGGACCAAGGAACCCTGGAGTTGGACCAAGGAAGCCTGGGAGACAGGCCAAGGAAGCCTGGGATATGAACCAAGGTACTCTGGGAGATGAACCAAGGAACTCTGGTTAATGGACCAAGGAACTCTGGTTGATGGACCATGGAACCCTGGGAGACGGACCAAGGAAGTTTGGGAGAAGGACCACAGAATACTGGGAGACCCAGGAACTCCAGGAGTTGAGAGAGAAATCCCAGTCCTGGAAGGTTCATTTGACAGGAGGACTCCTTATGACAGTGGAGCCACCCCTAGAAGGAGCAGTGGTCCTGGCTTGGACCTTACCTACGTGTACCTCCAAGGCCTCAGGGTGAGATCCCCGCCAGGTCACCTCTACTCGCTGCAGACGGGCCCCCTCGTGCCCTAGGGTCTCTACCACAGGCTGGGTCTAGGTCGGGAACAAGACAGCACAGAAAAGCCCTTATAAAGGCACCACTTGGCCCTGGGAAGCACCTCTCTGTGCCCCATGCAGGCTCCATCATCCCATGCCCAGCTGGCACTTAGTTCCCCTGGGGATAGGGAGAACACCCTCCCAAGGGGCTGTGGACTACGATGTCAGGGATGTTGTTCCCTGCTACTGTGGGCCCCTTGACGTATCTTGATCCTCCAGCTCCTGAAGTAAGAATGTAGGTGATCCACGCCAGGCCAGGAGAATCACAGGGATTGGCTGAGAGGTGGTCATTTGACCCAGCCAAGGCCAATCAGTTAGTCCCAACCTAGTTCAAACTCCAGAAAGGCCGTAATCTAGAGCCTTAAGCATCCACCCTGCTATCAGGAGGGAAGTGCTTGCCTGGGAATGAAGCCACTACAAAGGAAAGCAGAGTCAAGGGGTGAGGTGAGACACTGGATCCAGCTGTGCCTGAAGCTTACACATCAATGGACTTTGCATCCCATCAGCCAAGAACCAATGCCTCCCAACATCTTACCCCGACCACCCATCCACCACTCTGGTGTGGCCCCTGCCAAACTCCTCACCTGGAACACCACCACCTTCCCATTGTCAGTTTGCAGGTAGTATGTCCAAGTGGAGGAGACAAAGCCCTGGGCAGAGTTGACAAGGTCATTGCAGAGGGTGGAAAACAAGTCCAGGAGCGAGAGGGCCCCGCTTGGAGCTTCCAGGACTTTTCTCTGCAAAGGGGAGGCCCAAGGTACAGAAATGTCACCAAGGTAGGGCATTAACGAATGGGAGAGGAGCGGGGAGAATTCACTGTGATCAGAATTTACTAAGTGATTTGGGGCAACATGGCTTCATACAATGACCACAGACCTCAGTGCTGCATTTGGCTGGCTGTGTGCCCTTGGGAAGCGAATTGCCCTCTCTGAGCCCTAAAATAGGGATGATTCTCTTCCCTCATGGAGTTGCTATGAGATTTCAACTAGACAATAGTACAGCACAAGTGCCTAATATGTAGTAGCTGCTATTATTTAAAACGTCACCATCATCGTTAGGATTTTGACAGTGTCAGAAGAGAACTCGGAACAAGAAGGAACGATAGTGCAGTGGGCTTTTATGAACAGTGAAAGCCTGGAGGAGGTGGAGGAAAATAGGGGAAGGGGGGAAGAGCTTTCTGGGGGATCCCAGCCCCGGGATCTCCGGCTGTGAGGCTGGGTCCTGTGTTTTCCCCTAGTGCAGCGTTGCCTAGAGGCACTCAAGGACTATGGCGGGTGAGCAGTTATTTCTCTCAGGGGGGCGGGGGGCACTGTGTTTGTGCTTGGGAGGCTGCTCCTCCCTGAACCTCAGTTCTGAACTCTACAGATGACAGGTCATCACAAGGAAAGTGCTTAGACCAGCAGTTCCTGGCATGCAGTAGGTGCAGTAAAGTCAGCTCTGGGGCACTGAAGACGAGTAAGGTCGGGGGGGGGGGGTCACAAGCCCTGGGGGCACTGGCTTTAAATCCCACCTCTGCAGAGCCCGCCTGTGTGGCCTTGGGCAGCTGCTCCACGGGCATGAAATGGGAGTGGCACTGTCCCAGGTGCCTCCGGGTGGCATGAGAAATTTAGCACAGGCTGTGGTCAGGCCTGGACCAGGACAAATGCCTGATAAATGGTGGTTGCTTCCTGCCATTTACTCCCCAAAAGGTGGCAGGGGCAGGGGTGGCAGGAGGAGCACTTCCGACGACACAGAGATGACACTGAGGCTTGAGATGTGATACGGCTCAACAGAGGATACCCAGCAGGCCCGGAGCGCAACGGACGGATTCGGGGGCGCAGGGGGCAGGCGATGGGCCCAGGGCCACGGGTGGGAGGGCGCCCACCTTCTGCTCCTGCTCAGGCTCAGGCTCGGGGTTCTGGCTCCAGCAGCCCTCGCTGCAGGCCTGCTGCTCCGTCTCCTTCACATAGGCCTCCACGCAGGCTGTGGAAGGAGGAGGGGGTGACCAGGCGGCCCTGCCCTGCCCGGGTCTCCTCTCCCTCCCCTGACCCACCCAGCCAGCGCGCACCTGCTTCACACTCCACCTGGGTGGCGTTGGGCTTGGAGCTCCTGGCCACAAACCGGCAGATGGAGAAGAGGCGGCAGCCACGCTCACAAGCACTGATCAGGACGGCCCTGTCATACTCATGCGGGGACTCCGAGGGGTCCTCCTCCTCCTCCAGCTCCGCCTGGGAGTAGGATGCACAGTTCTCAGGCGGGAAGCACTCAGGGGGGGAGGCAGAAGATTTGCCTCCCCCTCCAAATCTGGGGAGATTGGGATGAGGTGGGGAGGCTAAGAATATTAGTAGGGGCTCTTAACTCTGAGGAGGAGAGAGGGAGAGGAGGCTTGAGAAGCGGCACGGATGCTGCAGGATGTTAGGTTTGGGCAATGGTCGGAAAACTGGGGAGGATGGAGGGAAATGCCACCCCCCACGCCAGGCTCCAGGGAGGAGGAGATTGAGGAGAATTCTCAGGCCTGAGGAAGGAGGGGGAGCTCAGAGGAGGAGGTGTTTGTCACCCTTGGGCCTGGGGAAACTGGGATTCGTCTTGCGGGGAGACGAGGGTGAGGCTATGAGTGGGGTCTGCTAAGCTACGTGGGAGGAAGGACGATGAGGAAGCCACAGGGGTGGAGGAGGAGGGGGAGGGGACGGTCAGGCCTGAGGGAGGGGGAGGTTGGGCGCCCCGAGGGTCCTTGCGCAGCAGAGTGCAGCCAGATCCCGCGAGGGGACATCAGGAGCCTCAGTCCCCGCCGCACCCTGGGGACGCCCCCCCCAACCCGGCATTCATCGGAGGAACCCGCATCCACAAATCCTACCTCATCGGAGGAAACCTCGACCCTTGGGCTCGCACCCATCGAAGGGACCCCAACCCTTCCCCCACAGGAGGGAGCCACCCTCATTTCCGACCCTTTCCCCCTGCGTGGAACCCCTGTCTCCCGTTCCCAACGGAGGGAACCGCATCCCCAGCCCCTCCCCCATCAGAGAGATCACTGGTCCTCCGGCTGGCGCCGCATGCGCTTCACCTGCGAGGGCTGCGAACCAGGGTAGCGGTCGCGGCACCGCAGCTGGCAGCTCTGCGTGTCCCCGAGCTGAGGGGCGAAGGGGTCGCGGGCGGGCGGCGCGGGGTTGGCGGGCGGAGGCTGCAGCAGCAGCAGCAGGAGCGGCATCAACGCGACCAAAGCCATGGCCGGGCCGGGCGCGAGGGGCGCGGGGGACGCCGGCTCCTGGCGGGCGTAGAGGATGCGGCGGCAGCGGCGGCGGCGGGGACCAGGTCGCTGACGTCACCCGAGCGAGGCAGCCTGGGAATGGGGGGCGGGGGAGCGGCGCTGCGGCACCGTGGAGATGCGGGCGGGGCGGGGCAGGTGGATAATGGGGCCGCCGTCTGTCCCATCGCAGTGGTGCCATGACACTTCCCTCTTGTCCGCGGGCGAGGAGATCTCAGCCAGATCTAGGGGCCAAAAGGAAACAAATAGGGTGATGAGGTGGGGGAGGGGGGTCTATTCGCCAGGGGGATCAGGGAGGGCCTCCAGGAGGAGGTGATGTTTGAGCTGGCCAAGCAGGGAGGGCAATAGAAGCAAGGGGAACAGCGAGGACCCTGAGGTGGGCAGGAGCTTGTTGGAAGAGGTGGTGGGAGGGCAGTAGGGCTGGAGCCCAGCCAGAGAGTGGAAATGGAGGGTCGTGAGGTTCGCACGTCTGCGTCACGAAAGTCCTTGGGAAGGTCTGTGGCATCCTCTCCTTTGATACCCAAGTCAGAGGGCAGGTAATTTGTGCGCAGTTCGCCTCCTTCAGGAAGCCCTCCCCGCCTGTCCGGGGCTCCCCGAGCCTCATCTCCCTCTGGCCCAGCCCTGATCCACAGACTTGGGGTATCCTGCCTCTGCCCCCCAAGACTGGGGTTCCCTCGACTCAGGCTGAGTGGGAGGGGACACAGAGGTGCAGATAGGGGTGAGGCGAGTGCTGCTAAAATTTCTCCTTCTCCTGGGAAAACTTGAGGCAACAGGGACACTTCTGGCTTCCAAAACTGCCACACTCCAAGGTGACAGACTGTAGCCCCTTGAATCTCCAGTTAGGAAGTCCCCCTAGCCTCCTCTCCGTCAGGCGTGGGAGTGGGGGCGCCCCTCTAAGCCAGAGTCCCCTGCAAAGATGTCCCCCTCTCGCTGGCGTGCCCCGCGCAGGTGCCTGCCCAGGCCGCGCCGCCGCCAGCGCATCTTGCATCGCTCCGCCCCTGCAGACCGGGCGACAGCCACGCGGGGTCGGCTGGTCAGAGGGCGCCGCAGGTTCCGGCGGAGGAGGAGGGGACCCGGGGGGGCCTGGCGTACCCCCTTCCCGGGCCGGCCGCCGCTCTTTCATCTCCGCGGCCTCCGCCGGCCCCCACGTGGCTTAATCAGGCGCGGCTGTGCCTGGAGGACCCCGAACATCTGGATCCCGGCGCAGACCCTCCCCCGCCCCGCCCCGCCCTCCCGGGCTAGGCCGCCGCGACCCTGTGGCGAGGCCTCCCGCCCGCCGTTTGCGCGAGTGCGAGGGAACCCCGCGTCTAATCCACCGCGTGCCAGGCCTGCGCCTTGGGAAACAGCCATTGGTTATAACCAATACTGTCCCCCATTTCACAGGTGGGAAACTCAGGCCCCCTCGGCTGAGCCAGAATTCAAGCCCACACATGCCGATGCCGGATCCCCGCGCGCTTAAGCCTTCCACAGTTACTGTCCTTCGTTCACGCCAAGCAAAACACTCCCCAGGGATTTTCTTGCGACAGCCCTATAAGGAAGCACTGGTAGCGTTGTCCAACTTACAGGTGAGGAAACTGAGGTTCGGGGTGGCAAAGAGAGCCGGCTCAGGTGACGAGCTAGAGAAGCATAGAGAGGCGGGCCGACTCCTGCGAAGGCTGGCGGTGGGGGCGTCGGGCATTAGAGGAATCGCTTAAGGCGCAAAAGGAAGGAAGGACATCCCGCGCCCTTTTGCGGAACGGGAAACTGAGGCCCGAGAGGTTGGGCCGCTAGCCTAGGTCGCTGGAGAGAAGGAGTGAGAGGGTTTGATTGCCGCCCACCCACCCCCCTTTCCGCTCCATGAGGCCGCTAGGGGTGGGAGCGGAAGGAGGACTTGACCCCAGCCCCCCAGGTGAGCCCCCGCGCCCCTCCTGCCGTTCCCGAGGGAGCAGGTCCAGGTGAGGGGCGGGAGGGCCGGCGGGCTGCCGGGGTCGGGTTTCAGGAAATCCGCCGACATTCCTTCGGGGCTTAAGAGGGAAAGTTGACTCGGCGCCGCCCCTCGCCCCCCCTCCACTTCCTACCCCCCGGGGCGGCCCGGACGGGGGCGGCAGGCTCGGGGCGCTGCGGCCGGCCTGGGTGTGAATCAGCGGCGGGCCCGGCGTCCGGGAAGCGGCAGCGGAGGTCAGGGCGGCCATCGGACAAGCGCCCTTTGTCCCTTGCCGCCCTCACCACGACCCCACTGACCCCCACCCCCAAGCTGGGTACAGGCTGGGGAGGAGGCACGGCACCCTGGCGCCGGCGCTTGCTGACCGTGAGGGGGAGGGGCAAGGAGCACAGTTGTGTGTCACCCCCCCCCCCAACACAACTGGGCCTCCTGGAACCTGGACGTCCGGGGTTCTGCAGGGTGCAGAGGTGCAGGGAACCTAGGTCTCGGTGGCTCGGTGCAACTGGCCCTGACCCGGACTTAGGCAGCTGGGCACTTCTGAGACCCCACCTCCAGTACCTATGGGGGCTGAATTTTTTAAGTACAGAAGGCAGAAAGCTTGGGACCTGGGCATCCCAGGTCCCCAGGCTCAGCCTCCAGGGTGGAAATGACAAAGCCCCACCTTCTCCCGTGCACAGGTCCTGAAACTGGGTTCTGCTGCCAACAGCCCCATGTACCGGCCAGACCCTCACTGTCTCCAGTTCCCAGGAATACTGGCCCAGGGCACAAGGCAGCTACTACCATCCTGAGGGGCCATGAGCTCGGGGTCTCCGCATGCTTGAGGCAGCTCTGTGCCCTCCTCACTCCCACTGACTCTGTGTCCCCACGGACCCCTGAAGGTGCTGTTACCACTGCCTCCCACTGCCCCCCTCCCCGCCCCCCTGCGCCTGCTGCCCTGTCAGTGCTCTGGAATTACGCAGGGAGCTGGGGCTGGAGCGTCTCCCACCAACCTAGTCCTTAGGCGCAGAGCGTGAAAGACTGAGGAGGAGCCGCTCCCCCAGCACAAGTGGGGCCCTCCCTCCATCTGCCCCCTTGGTACATTCCCAGCCACCTTCAAGGACTTCGGTCAATATTTGCCATAAGTTCCTTCAACGCTGGTTACCCTTCCTGCGCAAAGAGGTGGTGCGACCGGAGAGGAAGGGGTTAAGCCACTGGGAGCTCCTGGGGCAGGGAAGGGTACACTTTGGGGTCAAATCTCTTTCTTTAAAGTCAAAGGTATGGGGTAAAGGTCACTCAGAGAACAGAGGGCACACTCAAGGGCTGGGCAGAACTGGGAAATCCAAATGATCCATACCCTTCTATGGATAAGGACCAGAGAGGGGTGGCTACCGGCTTGAGTCACACAGCATGTCTGGGGCATGGGCCTCGTTGGGACCCCAGGCAGGATGATTCGCTGGGACTGTTTTGTTGATATTTGGGGGGACTGAGAATTCTCCATCCTTTCTTTTACAAATGTTCATTGAGCTCTTCTCCTGCGGCCCTCACTGGGCCCAGCACTGGGTCCTAATGGCTCTCAGAGTGCTTGCTGTCTAAAGAAAATTAGTAGCAAAAGAAAGATGACGTTGGAAGAGCTGTGTTACAAAGGCAATTTTAAAAAGTGAAAGGGTTAGAGGATGCATGAGAAGGGTGGGGGAGTCCTCCGAGAAGGTGACACGACCTGTGACCTGATGGAAGAGAAGGTGCAAACGGGGGGGGGGGGGGGGCAGATCTGAGGGAACTGCCTCTCTGCAGAGGGAACAGCAAATGTGCAAAGACCCAGCGATAGTAACAAGTCTGATGTGTTTGAGGAAAGGGGGCTGCAGTGGCTGGAGCGGTGAGGGAAGGAGGGGGCGCAGAGAAGACCCGCTTTGCTTCTTTTAAAAGCTCCCTCTGCCTGCTGTGCAGACAAGGGCAGGAGCCCTGTCACGGAAGCCCAGGAGGAGGCCGGTGGCCTCCCGGGGGGAGGTGGTGAGGCCTGGACCCAGCTGGGGCGGGGAGAAGGGGTCAGAATCGCAGAATGAGGATGTGTTTTGGAATCAGAGCCAACAGAATTTGCTGATGGATTGGACGTGGGGGATGAGCGAGGGAGACAGATATCACATGTGCCTCCAGGTCTCCGGGCCTGAGCACCTGGGTGGATGGTGGAGCCTCTTCCCCAGACTGGGGAGTGACTGGGGGAAGAGAAGAGATTGGGGGGAAAAATATCAAGATTTTGCTCCAGAAGGCTGAAGTTCTCCAGGAGGGAGTCAGACGTTGCGAGGCAGGGGTGGTGGGGGAGGATGGCACATAACCTGGAAACACACTTCTGGCCAAGAACTGCCACCTCAACTTAACCCTCTGGACCACCTGGCAGCTGGGACTATGGCCTTATTTTTCAGAGGTGACAAACTGAGGCCTGGGGACCACCTCTGCTCCAAAGAACACACCCCCAGTGCCCAGGGCTATGCTAAGCACTTAGACTGTGGAGCCGTCTGCTGCACTGAATCTTCCCACAGAAGCCCTAGCTGGCTCCGCTGTGCGGGAAGGAAACCGACCCAGAGGCCTGCTCGGCCCTGGTGAAGTTGCACACCCCTCCAGGGCTTTACTCTCCCCTCACAAACTCATCTGTAGTCCAGACTAGCCGGAGGTGCGCAGAGACCCCAGGATCCGGTCCTTCAAGCTGCTTTTCTGACCGTCTCGGGTGTGTGTTAGGGACCCAAGTAGCAGCGATGGAGGGTAGCCTGGAGCAAAGGAGGTGGGCATTCCTGAGGCCCCTCAGCCACTTTCCCCCTTGGCTGGTTAGGGACACAGAGGGAGGGGCAGTTCTCTAAGGGAATCTCTGGAAGGAGGAGTTAGAGCCCTTCCTCTCTCAGGGCTGGCGGCGAGGGGCAGGGCTGGGACTCAAACTGCAGGGCAGAAGGCGCCCCGGAACTCTCATTTCAGGCCCCCTCCACCTCAGCCTGGGAGGCCAGGCGTCCTTTTATCGCGGGCGCCTGAATCGGGTGGGGGCCCGAGAGGAGGGAGATGAAGCGTCCGGGCCGGGAGGGGTCCCGAAAGCCAAGCAGTGGCCAAAAATAATAACATGGAGAAGGATCCCTGCGCAAGAAAAGGAAGATAAACTATGCGTCGCTCGGGGCAGCCGG